GGATAAAGGAACCAAGAAAGAAGAGTAACATGAAAGAAAGCAGGCAGGACACAGGTGCCCAGACAACAGAATTTTGCAGGAAGAGGCTAAACAGTCATCAAGACTGTCCCCGCTGCAGAAAGAGAGCAAGTTGGGAGATTTGGTCACTGTATTAGTAAACACAAAGCCATTAATTGTGAGTATCTTTTAAACACCTATTCTGTTGACAGAACGTTAAAGTTATAGTGCTACTTTGTAACGCTAGACACTCTAAAAAGAATGAGAGAAACAAAGATGCATTAATAAGATAGGAAGATTATTAAAGTCTAAAAAAGCAAAAGAGAGAGCAGTGAAAAGAGATCAACTATGTCAATGTCAACAGAAGCCCTCTTAAAAATGAGGTAATTTCATGAAAGATGCACGGGGGGGGGGGGGGGGGGGGTAGTGAGAGGGCGGGTATGAGGAGAGAAGTTACCAGCTACTGTAAGGGCTCAGTGCATGAGAGGCAACCAACACTGGAAATAACCAATGTATGATGGAAATCCTCTGGCATTTATATATTTTTCTCCAGTAATACTTGTGATCATTGGATTAATCTCATAAACAGACAAGTCTAGGTTTAGTGAGTATTCAGGGTGCTAATGGAAGGAAATTCATGACTCATAAGAAATGAGACTTGGAAAGGAAAAGGACTCTGGAAATGTAGACAACCCTGTAGGAAGGGGTGTAAAAAATCAAGGGGAAGCTGAAGCTCCTATAAAAATGTGGGTGAGGGGGCTGGGAAGGTGGCTCAGTGGTAGAGCGCTTGCCTTGCATGCTTGAGGCCCTGGGTTTGATTCCTCAGCACCACATAAGCAGGAAAAAAAAAGCCAGAAGTGGCATTGTGACTCAAGTGGTAGAGTGCTAGCCTTGAGCTGAAGAGCTGAGGGACAGCGCCCAGGCCCAGAGTTCAGGCCTCATGACTGGACCGCCCCCCAAAAAAATGTGGGTGGGTGGGGAGCAGGTAATAGCCAGCATTTCTTGAACATGTACTGTGCTATTAAGCCTCATAAATTCGGAGGGACCAAGAGAATATGTAAATCACACATTTACGTAAATGTACTAGTCACATATGTAACCAAGAGCAGAAAATGTCTAATTTGTTTAAGAGAAGGGAATATTAAGGTTTACAATGGCTCTTACCTGCTTTCTATTGAATGAGGTAGGTAGGGCAGTGATGGATTATTAACAATGGATGGTAGCATATACTAAATGTCAAATGAGAGATGTAACTTTGAGGTCAGAAATTTCTCTCTGAATTGGTTATCATTTGATCAGCAGTTGGGAAAGATCACCAGATTCCTGGTTGGCACCCCTTTGTTATTTCTCAAAAAGAGAGACAAGATCATCTTTCCCTCCTAGATTTGGAGGTTATTATTTTTGTTTCTCTGTTTGGTTTGGTCAAAAGAGCCATAGTAAAATACTTATGCTTGGTTGGAATAAGAAGAGAAATGAGTGTTGATCTGTCATGTTGACTCTGTGCTTTACCCCATGCCCACCTTCATTACCATGGGAAAAGAGTGGCAGAATTGGATATGGGTAGGAATCAGGGTGAGTTCCATTGAAAGCACAACTTGATCATAATGACTTCTGAGTGCAGGACCCACCAAAAAAGAGGAAGGCATATATAACACAAGGTGTTACGTAGTCGATGAGCCTAGGGCCCTGCTTTTAACACCACTTGTCTCAATCATTTCAAATATGTGGTTAAGGAGTCTGGGTTGATGTTCCTGTCTGGAATTCTTTGAATCGGGGGCTGAAAGATGAGACTCCCTTTTTCATTGCTGATGGAAAGATAGACATGAGCCTGAAAAACTGTCACATTGGTCTGCAGAACTGAGTAGGGCCAAGTGAGGCCATTTGTATAAAGCTCAAACACTATATCGTGTTTCCAAACTGTGTTTCTCCCTAGGGGGAAAACTACAAGAAATAGTCTAAGCAAATGAGAGAGAGAGAGAGAGAGAGTGTGTGTGTGTGTGTGTGTGTGTGTGTGTGGTGTAAAGGCTTTGAAAGAAGGTTCTCCAGGTACCTGCAAGTGAGAATAAGAGAATATGAATTGGTTCTGAGATTTGAATGTTGTATAAAATGACAGTTACTCTGCCACTTCCTCGAGTTGGTGATGTTTTGCCTCTTTGCACAGAGAAAGCATTGTGGTGAAAAAACTTAGACTATATTATCTGTGATACTGAAACTATTTAAAGATTTCTGGTGATGAAAGATACCTCAACAAAACAGAGAAACGTTATAATCTAAGGTTCAGAACAATGGTCATTCCTCTAGGTTTAGACTTAGTTACAACAGGATTTTCATGCACCATTACAGAGAACAGAGCATAAAGCAGGAGCTCTTCACCTCTAATTGTCTTTTACCTCAATGATGAAAATACTATTTCAGATTAATTGGAAGTAATGGTCAGTTGGGATCACAGAATAGTTTCAGATAAATATATTTCTTCCACTTTTAAATTTACAGCTGGAGATAATAAGACCTTGGCAAGCTTTGAGATCTTACATTAAATGAGTTAGAATATAATTTATATAATCACTTATTCCACTTATATACGTGATTGATGTTTTAATATATCTACATGTCTAACACCAATTATATAGAAGAGGCACGGTATGAGTCTTTTATTTATTATCTATCTGATTTAGTCCTCACAGTAGTCACAGGAGGCAAGCCTAATTCCATTCTGTAGGTAAACACATTGAGACTGAGAAGCATTAGTCCACCTGTGGTTCTGTGGCTAACCAACTGCTTCAAATGTGTCAGATGTTTAAGTCTGTACTGCTGTTGACCATTGACATTTATTTTTGGCCTTCCTTTCTTTTTCACTTTTTGGCAGCGTTTGTTAAGCATTTATGTTATGCTAATTAATGCACTAGGAACTCTAAGTACATTGCCTGTCGAATCACTTTCTCCAACCTGCCCTTTAAGTAAGACTCTTTAAAGGAAAATGAAAATAATTTCTCTAACCTCTTGTCAACAAGGATCAGAGCCACACTCTTGAACTTGGAATCTTTGAGACTCAGTGCAAACAAAGGGCAGTAGGGGATTTCCAAGGGAGGAATGAATTCAGAAGGCCAGCCACTGATGGCACCAGTGGAAAGGGCTCTAGGAGGTGAGCACAGTGTGTGGTCCAGAAAGGAAGCCAGAAAGCTCTTGGGTGATCTCCCTCACCACCACCACCCTCACCACACCCTGGGGCCTAGTGCTCATCAGAGCTCTTGGATAACCTTCACTGTGGCTCTCCTAGAGGCTTGTGGCCTTTTAGTTGCAGCTGTCCCCATAGGTTCTGACAGCCATTGTGATGTGAGAGCTTGCAGCATGCCCAAGGAATTCTCAGGATGAGAGCGGAGTTGCTCTCAACACTCCTAGCAATCAGTTTGCTGGAAGAAGCAGAGAAAATGTGATACTTTTCAAATATGTAGATGGTCCATAGTTTGGACTGTTGGTCTGCAAATGGACATGGTAGCTATGAATCCCTAGAGGTTTTTTTTTTTTCTTGTCGGTTGTAGGGCTTGAACTCTAGGCCTGGGCACTGTCCCTCAGCTTTTCAGCTCAAGGCAAACACTCTACCACTTGAGCCACAGTGCAACTTCTGGTTTTCTGGTGGTTAGGTGGTTAATTGGAGATAAGAATCTTATGGACTCTCCTGCCTGGGCTGGCTTTGAACTGTGATCCTCAGATCTCAGCCTCCTGAGTATCTAGGATTACAGGCGTGAACAACTGATGCCCCGCTTCCCTAGAGTCTTGAACAAAGCTGAGGCTGGAGTTTCGATTCACTGGGCATATTTGAGCACTACTGTGGACATATTCTAGGTCAGTGTTGTGGGCACTGGAAATTCAAAAATAAAGAATAAAGTCTCTTCCAGAAGGAGCTAATATCCCAGGGGAGACAAGGCAGAAAGAGCACTCTCTCTCTCTCTCTCTCTCTCTCACTCTCTCTATCCTGGACATGCATCAGAGGAGTAGACAATCGTAGACCATAATGAGGACTCTGGATTTTACTTGGAGTTGAATAAGAAGCTCTTGAAATGACTTGAGCAGAAGCTGCCATAATGCGATGTACGTTTTTCCAAGAGCACCCCAGCCACCGTGCAAATGTGGAATGAGGGGACAGGTTGAGCAGCTTCAGCAATAGTCTGGAGAGAAATGGCGGTGGTACCGACCATGATGGGGATGGAGAGATAACAGTAGAGATCTGGAGGGGTTAGTCCTGCTTACATTTTGAAAGACTTGAAGAAGGATGACATTACATGATGTAGTTGAAGGAAAAAAATGAGTGATGGTGTCGTGGTTTGGGCTGAACAACTGGAAGAATGAATTTCCTTTCCTGGGGTAGGGAAGGGATATATTTGAACAGAAATAGCATAAGTTTGCTTTGTCTGGCTTTCCAGAACTTGGAATGGGGATGGAAGTGTGTATGGATTAGACTTTAATCCTCCCTTCTAAAACCTGGTCAAAGAAGAGCTGGTTATGAGTCCTGTGTGTGGACTCAGCACTAAATGGAGTTCCAATGGACTCTGAATCACAGCAAACAGGTAAGACAGAGTGAGAATGAGAGCGGAAGAGCTGGAGTGTCTAAAGGAGACTGAGTCAGGGCCTTTGCTAGAACAGACCTAGAAAGGACACCAGAAGTTAAGGAGGCAGATTAGAGAATGGGAACAGTCAGCAAGGTCTCCAGGAAAAAAAAGTGAGACCTCATCTATGATTCCTAGGAAGATGAGCTTGGAGTCCTGAGCTAAAGGGAGAAGAAAGGGGAAAAGGTACAGGGCATAAGACAGACAGATGAACAAAATGTAGCTGCAAAGTTTTGTGACTTGACTAGAAACCAATCTGGGGCCAGGGAGAAGGGCTGAAAAATCAGCATGGTTCTTCATTATAAGAGGCCTCAATTTTTAAAAACAGAGGAGTTTTATGAAAGTTTGCAGGAGTGATTAAAGACCAGAAAGCTAGAATGTAGTTTCGGAATGGTTTCAGCCTACCGTGTGTGTGTGTGTGTGTGTGTGTGTGTGTGTGTGTGTGTGTGTGTGTGTGTGTGTGTGTGTGTGCTACCAAGAATTGAACTCAGGGCTTCACAATTGCTAATCAAGCACTCTTAACACTTGTGTCATGTCACCCATCCTTTTGCTTTTAGTTTGTTTTTCAGATAGTCTCATGCTTTTGCTGGACCCATCTTAGAGGAGTGTCTTCCTGCTTCTGCCTCCTGCACATTTGATTCATTTGCATCTTTTCCATGAGGCAAATTTTCTCCCTTCACTTTATTATTTTTCGAACTTTGAAACTTACACATTGAGTCTGAAGCATGAGAAAGAAGACTTGCCATCTATCTGTTCGCATCACTCTCCTAATAGTACTGGTTTAAGTCCCCACCATAGTATATCCTTTTAAAGTCTTTGCTGTAGTGACTGGACCACTCAAAATTTGAGTCTCCTGTAATGCCAGGAGATATGCATTTTTCATAGGTAATCTTTCCCAGGCAAATAAATTATTTACAATGAATGGAAATTAAAATGATATTGTATATGTTATAGGGTTATAAATGTTATGTTTTACTTATATAATTTTTATAGTTTTATATATATACAGACTTTATACAGTGCTTGAATATATGGCTTCACACATTATAGTCAAATGCTTTAATCATTGAGCTATACCTTACCCCTTACACGTATTATTATAAACAATACTATTAGATCAGCTATAAGACATTGAGTTTGTATTTTATTATAGGACACCAATACTTAAGAGTAGAGCACTGTGTTCACATTTGTACTCTTTCCTTTTTCCTTTAGTGGTACTGTGGTTTGAACTCAGGCTGCTCACCACTTGAGCCACACCTATAACCCTATCTTTTATCAGGTTCTAGTAAACATTTGGCCCACAGAATTTTACATAGGTTGAGAAAATGCAACACTTAGGTCATATTTAGACTTAGTTTCTGCATCAAGTGTTAATATATTTTTCAAATTATATACTTCAGGTATTAATTACATTTGTAAAATAAATTTCTAAGCTGGGTGCTGGTGGCTCACGCTTATAATCCTAGCTACTCAGGAGGCTACAATCTGAGAATTGAGGTTTGAAGACAGCCAAAGGAGGAAAGTCCATGAGACTGTATTTTAAAAAATAAATTAATAATAAATTAATTAATTTTCCAATGAAAAATATCATTCACAAAAATAATTTGATTTACAGATTCTGGACAACTGGCCAGGATATGACTTGAATTTATTCACATACCCACAGCACTATTATGGAGATCTGGACTCTGTGCTTATACCTCATGGCATCATTGTGGACAGGTGAGTGTTGTTCCCTCTGTTAGTCTTAGTCTGGAACTGGCCTGACCCTCTCTTGTGGAAATCTCATAATATACTTGAGAATCCTCTTCTCAACCTTTTATTCGTCATAGAAAGAACTTTTACAGGACAGCAAATTTAGTCTGCAGTGAATCTATGCTTTAAGTGGATTGTATACCTGGACATTTGCTAAGCTTACATAAATAAACTATTTGAAAGTACTAGTCTCAAAATAATAATGTCCTATAAAAATCGAGACTGGGGCCAGGAAAGCATTGCTTTTCACCCCAAAACTTTTGCTCATGCTTTTCACAGACTTCTAAATTAACCAGGAAGAGGCCAGAGGTGACCTTTATCATCAGGGGACACACCCTGAAGGTTTGGACATTCCTGTAACTTTCATTTCTCTTAGATCAAGTAATGTGTCTCAGGTTAGCTGTTCTGTATAAGATTTTATTTCCAGGGCAGTGGCAATGTTTTGAGAAAGATAGCATTTGTAGTTTAAAAGTATTTGCAGAGAACTATTTGTAGCATGCTATTTCTAGTTCTTTCCTGCCTGTTCACTGTCCACAGACATTCTCTGGTTTCTTTCTACACAACTGGCTTTCCCAAAGACAATTTCTATCCTGTTTTAAGCTCCTCCCTCTCAGGACACTTCAATTTACTCCGGGTTTTTAGAAGGCTGCCTCTTTCAGCCTGGCCACAAACATCAGGACTTACAGGTTAATGCCCCTTTAACAAAACTACAGTAGTGCAAGACTGTTTATGCACTCCTAAATTCTGGACAAAGGTTGAATACTGAAGCCTCCACATTTATATGGAAAACAAGTTTCCTAGTGTTTACAATACACTTTCTGTAATCCTAGAGATTTGTCAGTCCCAGAATTTAGCCTGGGGAAGATAAGAATCTGGGTTGCCAAAGCCAGCCCTTTTCATAAGCTGTAGTAACTTCTATCTCTATTTTTTTAATCTATAATAGTCTTTTGACTTAAATTTTAACTTTATGAACTAAGTCTTCTGAGCAAAAGAAAGTTTAAAATACACTGAACACTCACTTATTCTTTCCAGGACATTATCTTTTTATGAGTCACTGTCAAGAAGCAAAAAGGATTTGTCATTCTTTCCTCTACATTCTAAGATTTTTCCATCGTATATGACTTGTATATTGCTTATGCTTTCAATTTATAGAATATTATTAAAATAAATCCTGCTTTGGTCTGGCCTAAGATAGATTTTTCATGAAATGCAAATCTGAAAGAGAAGTTCCATGATCCAGTGAACAAGAGATGCTGAATGTTTAAATTGTTAAACCTAGCAATTGTTGATTAAAAACTGATATTACCCTATTTCAGATACAGAATTTCTGGTAAACTAACAAAAGAGGAAGAAATATGCTGGAGTTGAACAAGTAAACCAACGTTATGTGTGCAGAAGGAGACTCTGTTCACTACTTCTTAACTCTCAAGAGAGTTCCCGCCAGACACCAGTGGCTCACACCTGTAATCCTAGCTACTCAGGAGGCTGAGATCTGAGGATCATGGTTCAAAGCCAACCCGGGCAGGAAACTCCCTGAAACGCTTATCTCCAATAAACCATCAGAAAACCGGAAGTGGCACTGTAGCTCAAGTGGTAGAGTGCTCGCCTTGAGCTGAAGAGCTGAGGGACAGCGCTCAGGCCCAGAGTTCAAGCCCCATGACTGAGAAAAAAAAAAAAAAAAAGAGTTCCCTTAACACCCTTGAGAGATCCTAAGTTTAAACAAATTCTTGATTCTAACTTGAATGTTGTGGTTTCAGTTCTTAACAGGATGACCTAAAACTTAATTGAGTCCAGGATAGATTGACTGCGGGCCTCTTCCCTGTAAACTTGCTAATAGTACATAATCCTAACCTTTATGTCTGAAAATCTTCCATCAGTGGCTGGGGTGGAGTCTAGGAACGCCAGTTCTCACCTTGAAAACTAACATCAAGCCATCTTTATATACTACAAAATTCACCTGTTATGGGTGAATAACTCAGGAATTCTCATAAATCTGTATGATTGGACAATCATTTCCATTCTGAAAAAAAAATTGTTTGCAGTCAACCCTGTTCCCACCACCAGTACCAGACCGTCCCTAATCTGCCTCTTCCCCTGTACAATTATTTTTCTGAATATCTCATTAAAATAAAATCATAGAATAGCTACTTAGTTATTCACCAACTGGTTGGACATTTGGTTCTCTTATTTTGACTATTGAAAATAAGGCTTCTGTGAACATTCACATGTAAATCTTTATGTGAATATGTCTTTGCTGTGCTTTGCTTTTTTCTTTCTTTCTTTTTTTCCTGTGGGTCATGGGGCCTGAACTCTGGGGCCTGGGCGTTGTCCCTTGGCTCTTCGGCTCAAGGCTAGCACTCTTCCACTTGAGCCACAGCATCACTTCTGGCTTTTTCTGCTTACGTGGTGCTGAGGAATCAAACCCAGGGTCTCATGCATGCAAAGCAAGCACTCTACCACTGGGCCACCTTCCCAGCCTCCTCTTTCTTTTTTTTGTGCCAGTTGTTGGAGCTTGAACTCAGGGTCTAGCTGCTATCCCTGAGGCTTTTGCCTCATAGCTAGCATGCTACTACCATTCAGCCACATCTCCACTTCTGGCTTTTTGATGGTTAATTGTAAAAGAGTCTCACAGACTTTCCTGCCTGGGCTGGCTTTAAACCGTAATTCTCAGATCTCAACCTCCTAAGTAGCTAGGATTACAGGCATGAGCTACTGACTTCTGGCTTTTTATTTTTCTTGAATAGGTTTCATGAAGTAAAAATCAGTTTAAGAAATTATAGATTACTTTTAAGTAATCTGCGTTATTGTTCATCCCTATGATCAACACATTTTTTTCCCTATACTTACCAACATTTTATATCGTGTACCCATTGGGTTATATCCATTTTAGTGGATATATACTTACTTTTCATTATGGTTTTAATTGACAGTTTCTGAATCATTAGTGTGCCTATTAGCTATTCATATCTTTTTGGAGAGATGTTTATTCAAATCTTTTGCTAATTTTTAACTTGGTTGTTTTCTTATTGAATTGTAAGAGCTTTAAGTATATGTATTTGGGATACAAGTTCCTTTGTCATATATATGATTTGCAAATATTTTTCCCCAGTCTGTGACTTGATTTTTCCTTTTTCCTATTGGCATGAGTTGAAAGGAATGTGTTTTCTATCTTTGGATGAAGTATTATATGCTTGTCAATTAGAACCAGTTTGTTGTTGGTGTTACTCAGTAGATACTATCCTTATTAGAGTCTGACTGTTGGGTCTGACAGCGAGTGGTAAAGGAATGTTGAAGTCTTCAAATCAGTTGAGGATTTGTCTTATTTTATTGGCAATTACAACAGGCTTAACTCATTTTGTTGTAGACACAGATTATGTTACATTTCGTTCTTCCTTCCTTCCTTCCTTCCTTTTCTTCTCTTTTTTTTTTGTTTCTCTTTTCTCCTTTCTTCCTTTTTCCTCCTTTCTTTCTCTTTTTCCCTCCCTCCCTCCCTCCCTCCTTCTCTCTCTCTCTTTCTTGCTTTCTTTCTTTCTCTCTTTCTTTCTTTCTTTTTTCTTTCACCTGGCTGGGGTTTGAACTTGTCTCTTAGCTGTTTTTCTCAGGGCTGGTGTTCTATCACTTGAGCCACAGCTCTACTTCAGGCTTTTGCTGGTTAATTAATTGAGATAAGAATCTCATGGGCTTTCCAGCCCAGGCTGTCTTCAAACTCAGATCTTCAGATCTCAACCTCCTGAGTAGTGATTATTTCAGGTGTGAGTTACCAGTGCCTGGCACTATGTCATGTTTTCTCAGGGAGCCAACCTCTTTATTATTGTTCTGCTTCTCTTTATCCCTGATAATTTCCCTTGCTCTAAAGTCTAGTCTTCTTGAAGTTAATATAGCTGCCCCAGTTTACTTTTTATTAGCATGTGATTCTCTATTCCTTTATTTTTAATTGACCTGTGTGTTTATATTTAAAGTGGATTTCTTGTAAACAACGCTTAACTGAGCTCCTGACACTCTATCTTTTAACTGATGTACTTATACCATTTTCATTTTGATAACTATTTTCTATTCATTGCTACTGTTGTCTTTCTTTCTTTCTTTCTTCATTTGTTTTCCACTCTGTGAATTTGTTCCCCCACAATGCACAGCCTCTGATGACTTCAGTTTTATATTTTTCTATTTTTGTGTTTAAGGCTTACTGACTAGGATTTATTCCCATGTTTGAATAGCTTAGTGTTCAGTCTAAGCTTGATTAGAAGACTGTAGAAACAGTAACGCTTCCATTCTCTGGCTGATGAATGTGTTTGTGGGCTTACAAGCATATTCAGATTTCCATGCAGTGTTTTCCAAGTCTTTTCTGGCTTTTATTTTTCCTTGGTCTCTTATTTCTCCTCTGTTCATGCATACCATCTCCAAGTATGTGTAGGTAGTTTGGGCATGGTCTAATCTCTGTTTTACACATGAACAGCCTCTGATCAACTTGAGATATATGCAGAAGTTTTGTGGACTTCTGTCTATGACTCTCTCACCCCTTAGAGCTTTTTATCAAATCTCAACTGGCCATTGTTCAAATGAGACTGAATTTATATTCATGCAGCCAGGCTTCTAAGATGGCCAGGTTAGCTTACCAGGCGCCTAACCAGGTGAGTTCTTCTTGGCAGTGCTGTTGAACAATAGAGCTGGAATATGGCGGGGATGATGGGCACGTCCAGGCAAAAGTGCCATAGACTTGTGCTATTTCTACTAGTATTCATTGTTTCTATGATTAAAGCTTCTCAGTTTGTCATATGCTTTTCGTTGATTTCTAGAGTGCTGAGATAGATGATTTGGACAGATTTGTCAAGTGATAGGTGTGTGTGTGTGTGTGTGTGTGTGTGTGTGTGTGTGTGTGTAGGATGTGTTAACCCCTGTTTCCATCATGAAAGAAAAATATCTCTTTTTAAAGCATGTGGCAGATATTCTGATGTATTTTTTATATGTATGCACTGGTTCTGGGGCTTGAACTCAGGGCCTACGTGCTGTCTCTGAGCTTCTCTTGCTCTAGCCTAGCATTCTACCACTTGAGCCACAGCTTCACTTCTGGCTTTTTGGTGGTTAACTGGAGATGAGTCTCACAGACTGTCTTACCCGGACTAGCTTTGAACCTTGATCCTCAGATCTCAGCTTCCTAATTAGGTAGGATTAATTACAGGTGTCAGCCATCAGTGCACAGCTTGATGTACATTTTTTGATTATCATATTTGGGAAATGTTGCCTAAAACCATCATGGCTAACATGCTATAAGTATATGTGCATATGGAGGCTTTAGCTCCAATTAACCAATAAAATACTGAACATGGCTCAAGACAGTGTCAAAGATCATGTGTGTCTGTCATCTATTACATTATCATTGTAGTACCTAGCTGTACTTAGCAATTTTAAGATGGTATTTGGTGATATGCTTATTTTATAGTAGAGCAAAAGGAAATGGAGAGTAACTTACTTTCCTTACATTGGAGGAAAAGTACATCTGTGTTCCCTGGACTTTTTTTAATACTGACCATGCTGATTTGTGAAACTGGTCAATTTGAGACAAGAATCTCATGAATGGCTTTGAACCTCAATCCTTGGATCTCAGCCTCCTGAGATAACTAGGATTATGGCTGTGAGCCACTGGCACCTAGCAACACTTTAATTTTTATGGCATCTAGCAACAAACATGTAATGTGACATAGCTATCAGAAATATGTGTTGAATACCCTTTGTGTGACTAACAAAGCTTTTCCTATAACATCCTGTGTTTTTATTATAAGAACCAGAATACTCAAAAATAGTAGTGTTTCAGTGTGTGTTTCAGTTGTGTTTCAGTTTCTTGCCCCTTACTTCTTTCAGAATTGAGAGGCTGGCTAAGGACATAATGAAAGATATTGGGAACTGTGACATTATGGTCCTGTGTGTGCTTAAAGGGGGTTACAAGTTCTGTGCTGACCTTGTGGAGCACCTCAAGAACATCAGCCGAAATTCAGATCGATTTGTCTCTATGAAGGTCGATTTCATCCGACTAAAAAGTTACAAGGTAAGTTATCCCACATTCATTTTTATTGCCTGGTATTTAGAATTTACGTTGTGCCAGGATACAAGAACTAATACATGAACATGCAGAGTCTAATTTTTTTTGGGGGGGTCCAGTCATGGGGCCTGAACTCTGGGCCTGGGTGCTGTCCCTCAGCTCTTCAGCTTAAGGCAAGCACTCTACCACTTGAGCCACAGTGCCACTCCCGGCTTTTTTCTTTTTGCTTATGTGGTGCTGAAGAATCAAACCCAGGGCCTCATGCATGCAAGGCAAGAGCTCTACCACTGAGCCACCTTCCCAGCCCTAAGAGTCTAATTTTTTTTAATGGAAGTGAAAGCCAAGAATGTATTTTTCTTTTAACTTTCAAGAATACAACATCCTACTAATAAGAATTCAATTAGTATTTTTGGAGGAGAAAAATAAACCTCTGTTTTGGCATATATAGAAAGACTCTTTAGGAATGATTCACGCCTTCTTTTATGGTGATAAAAGTGAGTGGTTATTTCCTGAGTCCCAGCCTCACCAATGAGTGGGGTCAGTGTTAAGAATTCCACTGGACATAGATGTACTTCTACCCTGGGTGCTGCCCTTTTCCCTGGAGACATACAGAGCGGAGGCTTGGCACTTGGAGGTCAATAATCATGGCCTGGAGCTAAAAAGGGTCTATAGGAATAGTGGGAGGGAACTAGGCTAGAGAATCTGCCACAGAAGTCTCTTCACCAGTGCAGCGTGAGCTTTCTGTGGCTACTTCTAGATGGCGTTGGTACCAGCTGTTCTCTTCTTCTATGATACTTTTTGGTTCAACAGAGAGAAAAATCATTCAAACTAATTTTTCAATGTGTATGTCAGGGTGGGAAGGAGGGTTCAAACCCATGAAAACATTCTTACTGATGTAACAAGCTTGACACATTTTGATTTGTGAATCACTATTTGAACTGGCTGGTAGAAAACAAAATCACCACAAAATTAAATCTAAAACACCAGGTAGACAGATTTATTATCTTAGTTTCTTGGGACAGGAATCTGGGCATTTTTAGAGCAGCGTTCTCTCCCGGCAGTTCTACCAAGCTGACATGAGAATGAGCTCAGGTTTTGATCACCTGAGGTTTATGGTTCTTTCCCTAGAATCTTGACCTTTGTCACAATTCAGCCCTCATTTTCTTGCTGATGCAAGCTGTAGCCCTCTCTGTCCAGGACCACTTCATGGTGGTCTTTGCTTCCTGGATTCCACAGGAAGCTCACAACACTGATAGGATAGCTTTTGCTTCCCCATGCCCAGTGGGAGAGTATCTGTTCAGGAAGGGCCCAGCTCTTCTTCTAAAGCTCACTCATTAGGTCACGTTCACCTAGAATAATCCCCCTTTTGATGAACTCAAAGTCAACTGACCTGTCATCTAGTCTCGGGAGTGAATTACTGCTGTATTTATAAGACTCCCTCCCACTCCACTCACGTGGAGAGGATTATGCAAGACACATGTTTCCCAGGGCCAACAATCTTGAAGACTGTCTTACAATTCTGCCTGCCACAATTCAATCGCCCTTGATGTCCAGCAGCTGCAGATTAGTTCTTCTGATGAAACATACTCTGTATGTCTGATGATCCTTCAGTCTAGGGTGAATCTGGGTATTTTTGTTTCTTGGTTTGTTTGCAGATACTTAGCTCTTCTTTATTGTTTTCATTCTCTCTTCTAAAGGCAATATTTTATTTTTATTAGCATATACATATAAGTGTGCAAAGGGGTTTCAATGTGATATGTCCATATATGTGTATAATGTGTTTTGTTCAAATTCACCCTTTTGTTCTGATCTCCACTTGAAAATATTTTTCCTTAGGTTCCATTCAGCTTGGATTAACTAGTGGTTCTTTATTGTTTTTGCTTAGCATGCCAATGAAAAGAGTTTTTATTTAATTCATATAATTAGCACTACCCCCCAAAAAACAGACTATATTTTTTGTAACCATTTTTCCTCCTTAGAAGATTTTTTTGTTATTCACTTGGCTCTAATGCTCAGTTTATTTGTCCTAGCTCTTTAAAAGCATATAGGCAGAAATAGGAAGATCACTGTTTGAGGTCATCCTGGGCATACAGTTAGTGAGACTCCCATCTCAACCAGGAAAAAGCTGGGCACAGTGGTTCATATATGTGATATCAGCAGAAGTAGGAGGATCATGGTCTAGGCCAGCCCCAGACAAAAAAGCAAAACCCTAACTAAAAAATAAGAAAACAAATAGTATTAGGGGGCATTACTCAAGTGGTAGAGTGCCTGCTTAGCAGTCACAAGGCCCTGAGTTCAACAGCTGTCCCCAAAAGTTGTGTGTTTTATATACATTCTCCAGCCATTGAATTTTTTTAAATTTCATAATAGTATGTCTTTTCAAGGAGCATAATTTAATTCAATTGCACTAGTATGCATTTCCAGCTTTTCTTTTCTTTTTAATAACCATTTTAGTTCTTCAAAACAGATTTTGTTCTTGGCCTTTCTGAGTAAATTTTAAAATCACGTTGATGTCTATAAAAAGCACTCGTGAGAATTTTTGTCTGGATTGTTATGAATCTGTAGCTCAATTTGGGGGATACCTCACCGCTTCAAGATATTTTGTCTTCCCTTCCATCCTGTTCAATGTGCTAATCTGTTTGAGATATTTGGTATTTTTTCATTTATGTTCATGATAGATGGCAAGCAAACCATAGTTTTCCTAGGGCTTGCTGGTCTTTTCTGGTTTTGCTTATCAGTATTGTATTGGTCTCATAAAAAGAATGGGAAACTGCTTCGTTTCCTTTTTGTGTCTTTCCAGCGGAATTTCCATAGAATTAATACAGATTCTTCTTTGGATATCAATGAAATCGTTTGGCCTGAAATTTTCAGGAGTTTGTAGGCCTTTATCCCCTTTTTATTTTACCTAAGATTTCATATTTGGAGGCATGAAGTCGCTTGTCATATTCCTACAATATCTGTGTGTGTGTGTGTGTGTGTGTGTATCTGTGTGTGTGTGTGTGTCTGTGTGTGTCTGTGTGTGTCTGTGTGCGCGCGCGTGCACGCGCCAGTCCTAGGTCTTGAAGTCAGGGCCTTCTACAGTCTCTGAGCAAGTTTGCTCAAGCCTAGCACTCTATCAGTTGAAATAAGAGTCGCATTGACTTTCCTGCCCCAACTGGTGTTGAACTGTGATCCTCAAATCTCGCCCTCTTGAGTTGGTAGAATTACAGATGTGAGCTGGCATCTAGCTCCCACAATATATTTAATATCTGTAAGTGCCTAGTGATATCCTCTTTCAACCCTCTTTTTAAATTTTATCTTCTATCTTTGCTTTTTCTTCCATAATTGTAGTGCTGTTTTTTTTTAGTTCAAAAGGCCAATTTATTGCTTCCTTGATTTTCTTACTGTCTTCAGTTTCATTAATTTATACTTTGATGTTGTTTTCTTCCTTCTTTTTGTTTAAGGTTAATTTGATTTTATTTTACTACACAGACGTTTAGTTCATAGGTATCAGACTTGTTTCTAATATAAACATGTAATGATGTAAGTTTTCCTTTACGTTCATGTTTGGTTGCATCCCACATACTGTGCTATATTGTTTTTACTTTCAGTTAGATGAAGCTATTTTGTAATTTCTTTCATGACTTCCTCATTCATCCATTGGTTATTTCATGTTGTTTTGTTTTCAGATATTTAGGGATTTTCCAGAGACTTGTTATTTTCAGTTTAACTCTACTACAGAAATTACACTTTTGAATATATGGGTCCTTTAACAATTTTTTTGCTGGGACTGGGAAGGTGGCTCAGTGGTAGAGCGCTTGCCTTGCATGCCTGAGGCCCTGGGTTCCATTCCTCAACACCACATAAACAAAAAGAAAAAAGCCGGAAGTGGCGCTGTGGCTCAAGTGGTAGAGCACTAGCCATGAGCTGAAGAGCTGAGGGAGCTGAAGAGCCCAGGCCCAGAGTTCAGACCCACGACCAGACCCCCCCCCAAAAAAATTTCTTTTGCCGATGTGTCTATATCCCTGAATAAAGATGATCTTTCTGAGACTAATAGCATTGTATTCCATGCCAAATTAAATCACAGCACTTACTTCCTAATCTCTGTCCAGTGTGTATTTCTCTCAACAATCTCTCTATTACCAAGGCTTTCACTTAGAAGCATGCATTGTAACACTTATACAACTGTTGCTCTACCTCTTGAGCCATGCCTCCAGCCTGGCTTTTTTTTTTTACTGGTTATTTTGGAGACAGAGTCTCAAGGACTTCTTCTACCCAGGCTGGCTTTGCACTTTGACCTTCTAGATCTTCAGCCTCTTCAGTACCTAGAACTACAAACATGAGCCATTGACACTGCGCTAGACACATATTTTCAAATCACCATGTTTTCCTGAGGAGAAAGATATGGGGGTTCCCATCAAGAGTTCTGAGGGAAGAGAAAGGCAGCAGTTGATGTTACAACTTCACCATAGTCATCTGGCCTTGCATATTGTACACCTAAGCTTTTTTTAAAAAAAAAAAAATAAGCAGCTGGGAAGGTGGCTCAGTGGTAGAGTGCTTGCCTTGCATACCTGAGGCCCTGGGTTCGATTCCTCAGCACCACATAAGCAAAAGGCCAGAAGTGGCGCTGTGGCTCAAGTGGTAGAGCACTAGCCTTGAGTTGAAGAGCTGAGGGACAGCGCCCAGGCCCAGAGTTCAGGTCCCACGACCGGACCAAAAAAATAAAAAATAAGCTTTTTATTGTGAAAATACTGTACAGAGGGGTTACAATCACATGAGCAAGGTTATGAGTACCTTTCTTAGCAAGCATTATTGCCTCCTCTTTTGTTTTTCCCCTACCATCCCTTCCCTCCCATCTCCACAACTACATGTTCCTCCCCTTGGCACTCCTCCTTCCGCCCCCCAACCCCGCCTAAATTGTAAAGTTCGTTTTTCTACAAAGCATCTCGTCCATCTCATTGTTGCAATGGGTCAACCTGTATCCCTATTTAAACAATTCTTTTTTTTCCCTTCCGCTCCCAAATCAT